GCGGCTGCCCTGAGAGTTGTCTCGCGGAGCTAGAGACTGCCTGGAGACGCCTGCAGCGCCTTGGGCTCGCCAGGAGTCTGAAAAGGTGTCTTCACTGTGAGTTGAGGACTGGTACAACCGAGCTGAGGTGCGGGCCCAGACTGTATATACCTTATAATGTGTGTGTGGAGGAGGATGGCAGGGAAAGCCTGGTGGAACCCAGATCCCGCCGTTCCAGCAACCATTCCAGCATTTGAGGATGTCCTTTCTGTGCCTGCCTTGTCCTATCTTTTGTGTGAGCTGTTTTATCAAACTTCCACCCCACATTAAGACCTCCCAGTGGGGAAAGTGAAATTATAGACACAGCCATGCGCCTAAAATCCCAACAAAAGATAAGCAATCACAGTCTGTCTTTAAGTTTACTTAAAGAAAGACCTGCAATTTCTGTGCTACACATTGAACCCAACCATTACTCTGTGAATTGAACTCATCTTAGAGAAGGTAAAGAAAAGTATGTTATGTTTGTATTCCACTTGAATCAGAATTCTTGGGTTTGAAACTGCCATCCCTATTATGTCTGTAAACCTGGGCCAGTTAAACTCTCATCTCAGTTTCCTCATTAGTAAATGGCTAAAATAAGAATACCTACAACACTGAGTTGTTGAGAGTTTGAGTGGTTTACTACATGTAAAAACTCAATGTTATTACAAGACAGAGTGAATACAAATTATTAACTACTGTTGACATCCACCTATAATACAACAGAAACCTAAAAATTAAGTTTTGTTCCAATCTAATGTTTTTATGTTTTACTCCACCTCCTATGTATTACCATGTCTTATCCATTCTAATTCCCAAACTCTTAAATCTACCTTGTCTCATTTATTGCCCACTAAATTGTGATCTTCCTCATTTGTTCTTTCATTCTTCAAACATTTATTACTCTAATATCTGTGTGCCTTCTGCTAGACATAGAGACAGGAAAACCATTACAAACAGACCCCTCCATCCAAAGATTAACCATAGGGAGACAAGTGTGTTAATAGCAAGGGAATAAATAAACACATAGCAAACTTTGAGGGCTCCTAGTTTTGCGATACTCTCACACATGTCTGTCTTTATGCTGTTTCCTTTTGCAAGGCTATTTCCTAGTTCCCTACCTTTTCTTGACCTATCTCATTCCTGCTTATCCTTCCAGGGATCAATTCCATTATGAACCTTTCACTGTTGCTTGCCCCCAGCCCATACCCACCCCAGTATGGGCTCAGTGTTCCTAACTGCAATTCTAAGCTACTTCTACCACTTTCTATACAGAATTATAATTGTAATTTTTTTCTCTACTTAAATTACATTATGATCTCCTTGAGAGCAGACACAAAGCCTGATATGCAGTAGAACTGACTCACATTAAGTGCAGAGTGAGTGAATGACACACATGCAGAGTACACTGTCTTGGTATATGAATGTTAAGAGGACAGGCCCTATAATATGTTCTACGTTAGGCCTAACATATCATACACCTACAAGAAATAGTAATATATCTGTGCCTACACTGATCCATTTGCAAGTCATCTACCATCCACAAGGCTCTGGAATGTATTTACAGGTATTCCCCTGGATACTTATATTACTAGCAGTTTGAGAATGAGATGGGTAATAGTAGTTACCTATAATAATACCTCAGCTTGACAACAAAGAGACAAAGATATATTTCAGTATGTTAAACATTTGGGACCTCGGCCTATAAAGTATGTAAAATGCTGTGAACATCCTATGTTAGGTTGCTTATCCATATATGAAAGGGACAAACAAAGTTTAAAACATAAATTTTATAAAGTACTCAAGTTTACCTTCTTTCCGTTTCATTAAAAAATAGATTATACAGGTAATATCAAATACAACATATAAAATAAAACTGAATTTTATAAATTGAAGATTTTCCCATTCATAATTGAGGCAGAAGACAAAGGAAATAAATATAAAAGATATTTTAAATTGGGCAAGTCATTCTGAGACTATTACCCTTAGCTGTAACTTTTGTAGCTTGTTTGCCATTATTTTATTTCCAAAGTTAAGAAAATTTGTATATTTTCATGGTATCTCCAGTTTAAAACAGACTTGTTATTTTAAATTTGTCTTAGTTACTTCCTTTGTCACTGGGACAAAATATACCACACCCACAATTCTAAAGAGGAAAGGTTCTTTTCAGCTCACAGTTTGTAGGGGTTTCAGTTCATAGCTCTAAGGCAGGGCAGCATGACGGAGAGGCATGGTAGAAAATACTTGTTTATGGTATGACAGGAAGCAGAGAGAGACAAAAGGAGGAGGAAGGGAAATATACTCTTCCAGGCCACACCCCCAGTGACCTACCCCTTCTGACCAGACTTCATCTCCCAAGAGCACATTTAGCTGGAAACTTCTCAGTGGACTGATCCACTGATAAATACCACACACCCATGATTCAGTTACCTCACAAAAGCCCCACCTATGAATGTGTGAGCCTTTGGGGGAAGTTACACTTAAAAACTATTACATTCTGTCCCAACAATCAAAAGACTTAGGTGTACCTCTGTGCAGAATACATTTAATTTAGTTCATCTCTAAGAGTTGCCAAAGTTGTAACAGTTTCAGCAAGTCCAAGTCCAAAGTCTGAGATTTAAGGTAAACTCAACTGTGAGGCCCTGTAAAAGTGAAGAGAATGTTAAACACTGCCAACATAAAAAGGCATAGGGTAAACATTTCCATTCCAAAAGGGAGAAATTGGAGCAAAAGGAATAGGACCAGCCGGGCGTGGTGGCACACACCTGTAATCTCAGCACTCGGGAGGCTGAGGCAGGAGGATCACTGTGAGTTCGAGACCAGCCTGGGCTACATAGTGAGTTCCAGGTCAGTCTCACCTACATAGTGAGACCCTGTCTCAAAAAAAAAAAAAAAAAAAAAAAAAAAAAGGAATGGGACCAAAGCAAGACCTAAATCCATGGGACCAAAGCAAGACCTAAATCCAGCAGGGCAAACACTAAATCTCAGTTCCATGTCCAGCACCCTGGGCAATCTGTGGTAAAATGTGAACTCCAAAGGGCTTGGATTCCCTGCCTCTTCTGCGTAGCTGGTTGTCATTGTAGCCCTCATGACTTCTCTCTTAGGCCAACTTTGCTCACTCCTCACATCTTTCCTTAGACATTCCATGTTCTTGCCTTTTCCAGCGTGATGGGAGTCTCTACTTTTGACTTCAGTCTCAAGCTCCTCACATTGCCTGGCCTCCCAGGCCTTCTGAAATCTGGGTGGAAGCCTCCCTGACTATCATGGTTTATATTTAGATGCATCACCACCCCCCCAGCCTCATGCTCTCATAGGTAGCTGGATCTAGGGTGTGTGAATATGAATTAAGGGTGTGTGATAACCAAATTGGTACACTGATTGCTTTATCATAGTTCTGGGTGTGGCTAATGGGAAGGCCTATCCCAGGTGCGGGTGGTACCAGCCAAAAAGCTTATAGCCTAGAGGAGATAAAAGGTAAAGGGAGGCTGCTGCTTTCTGCCTCCTACCTTCCCTTCCATGGACTTTTTCTCCTCTGCCATGTCACCTTACCTTGGAGCCAGCCAACTATGGACTAAAACCTCTACAAACTGTCAGCTAAATACACTTTCCTTCCTTTAACTTGTGGGTGTCCCAGCAACAGGAAAGGTAAGACACTGACCTTACAACTCTTGCATTCTGCATGTACATAAAACCAGCACCATGTGGATGACACCCAGGTCTGCCACCAACTGGAGCAATAGCTGAACTCTTTTGTATCATGGTGCACGGGTATACACTCCAAGTGCCTAGATGGCTGAGCCTGGTCAACTGAATATCAAGGAAATCAATACCCTAGGTGGCCTTCCTTCAAGAGAGTGCTCTGGGGCTCTCCTCTCAAAGCAAAGTCCTAGCAGTGGGGTCTTTCTAGTTCTTCACATTCTCTCAAGGCATTTTTCCTGAAGGCGCCCTTCATTCCTTCCTACAGGTTCTGTGAGAAATTCTTACATTCCTGAAATAATTCCCCTTTTTTGCTTTGAATGAATTTCTGTTACTGGCCATCAGAAAGTTATTCTAAACAAAATATTTTCATGGAGGGATTGATTTTTACAGCAATTAAAAGCTCAAAGTAACATAGCTTAAATAAAGTAAAGTTTACTCCTCCCCTGCAAGTGTAGGCAGTCAAGGGCTCTCTGATTAACAGAAACTTTCTATCATGAAGCTTCACAATCCTGAACATGCAACATCTACTT